TATCCTATCAATCTGGGCCAACATTTCTAAAGAATGCTTTCAGCACCTTGTTGAATCAATGCCACGTAGAATTAAGGCAGTTCTGAAGGCGAAAGGGGGTCAAACACAAAAAGAAACTAGTATGGTGTTCCTAATAATCCTTTAGGTGAGTGTATATTCAAAAAAGGGGATAGAAGTAATCTAGCAAACTATAAACCAATCAGTTTAACTTGCATAACTGGAAAAGTAATGGAAGCTATAATCCAAGTGAAAATGGTAGATTACCTGGATTCAAATAACATTCTGAGGGATAGCCAACAAGGATTTAGGAGAGGTAGATCCTGTTTAACTAATCTACTTCAGCTCTTTGAGGAAGCTACAAGAGAAATTGATCATAAAAAGGCCTACGATGTAATCCTCTTAGATTTCCAGAAGGCCTTTGATGTTGTCCCCCACAAACGGCTCTTGCTTAACCTCAAAGCTGCAGGGATTTTAGGAATTGTAGCAGCTTGGACCAAAAACTGGTTAACAGACAGGAAGCAGTGAGTAGTTATTAGAGGCACAATGTCACAGTGGGCCAGCATTCATAGTGGAGTACCGCAGGGTTCAATTTTAGGACCACTATTGTTTCTAATTTACATTAATGATATTGACACCAATACATACAGTAAACTGGTTAAACTTGCAGATGACACCAAGGTGGGTGGTGTAGCAGATACTGAAGTAGAAGCACAGGCTACAACGGGATCTTGATTAATTAGCAACTGGGTTGATAGCTGGCAGATGAAATTTAGCACAGATAAATGTAAGGTAATCCATGCAGGGAGCACAAATATAAAGTACAGATATTTTATGGCTTCCACTGAAATAAAGGTAGCTGATTATGAGAAAGATCTTGGTGTGTATGTTGATGCTTCCATGTCTCACTCTTGCCAGTTTGGGGAAGCAATAAAAAAGGCCAATAGAATGTTGGATTATATCTCTAGGTGTGTGGAGTTTAAGTCAAGGGAGGTGATGCTATGATTATACAATTCCTTGGTAAGACCCCACCTAGAATATTGTATGCAGGTTTGGTCACCATACCTTAAAAAGGACATTGCTGCTTTGGAAAGGGTGCATCATAGGGCTAAAAGAATGATTCCTGGTCTTAGACAAATGTCTTATGAGGAGAGGTTAGCTGAGCTGAAGGAGGTTAGCATCGAGCAAAGGAGACTTAGGGGGGACATGATCCAGGTATGTAAGATTCTAGCAGGTCTGGATGCTGTTCAGCCAAATGGCAATTTCAATATTAGTTTAAATACTAGAACTCGTGGCCATAAGTGGAAATTAGCAGGAGGACATTTTCAAATGAGTTTGAGAAAGGAGTTCTTTACACAGCATGTAGTTAGAGTATGGAATAGTCTTCCTGTTAGTGTAGCGCAAGCTAAAACCCTGTGGTCCTTTAAATCAGAGCTAGATAAGATTTTAACAACTCTGAGCTATTAGTTAACTTCTCCCCAAATGAGCTTCTTTTTTATTGTGAAATTGAACATGCATTCCAGATTCCCCTAATGCAACTCTATTATTTGTGCTTAAGCAGGCCAAGACTGGGAAAACCTAGGCACAAATAAGAAGTAATGTTATTTTATTTTTATTTTATTGGTAATAGTTTTTTTCTGTCATAGGAAATGCTAGTCCTCCACCAAAATTAAATTCCTGGTTCCAGTCGAAGGGCCAGGGAAAAACTCAGGATGACACAGCATGTCACATTCCCCATGATATTTATGTTATTGGGAGTCAGGAGGACCCTCTGGGTGAGAAGGAGTGGGTTGATACTCTGAAAAGCACTCTGAGGGACATCACCAATATTTCCTTCAAACAAGTAAGACTCTAAAACGGTTGCTTATTCTGTTATTTTTTCCTGAATTCTGTAATGTTTATCAGAGTCAATATACATTTATTAAATACTAAATATTTAACAGCATACAAACTGTGTCCCTTTGTCCCTTTACAGATATCCATTCATACACTATGGAACATCCGAATTGTTGTGCTTGCAAAGCCTGAGCATGAAAATCGCATCTCGCATGTTTTCTCAGACAGTGTCAAGACAGGGATTGCCAATGCCCTTGGTTAGTCAAATACCTTTAAAGAAAGTACTATGAAAAACAGCTGTTTGTGGAGAGTGATGAAAAGTTTTAGTAGGTATTTTTCTCAAATGCAAAGTGCTTTATTTATCTGCTGTATCTCAACTTGATTAAAAAATTATCAAACTCATGTAACAAAAAGTCAGCCTTTAAACATCAGTATCCAGTCATAAACAGCAGATCATCATAAATGCTCTCATTTTGCCTCTATTCGCCAGCATTAAATCCTGTAACTCCTTTGTAAATGTGTTCAATTACAAAACTTGTTTTGATGAATCTAGTCTGTTTTTAATTAGAGTGACTGACTTGAACCATTGCTGAGGTGTATAACTCAGCCGAGCAGCTCCTGTCACAATCTGCTTCACTCTTGCATTATATCACGGTTTGGCTAACAAGATAATGAGATTTATCTTTATTTATAAACACAGATTTTTTTTTCAGCAGCCTAATGTTCATTTCATGTTTCAGGTAATAAAGGAGCTGTTGGTGTGTCCTTTATGTTCAATGACACTTCCTTTGGATTTGTCAATAGTCACCTGACTTCTGGCAGCGAAAAGAAGCTACGGTATGCAGCAAGGACAATATTGCCTTATTAAAGCCCATTGACTAAGCTGTAATTATCTGTAGCTATAGCCAGGAACACTTCACAAAAGATGTTATCTGTAATTATATACAGGCACAGTTGCACACTGTAAAATCTTATAATTCCACATGATCCTGCATTATGAAGTTCATTATTTGGTGTGCATACGCATGTGCTGTCCATTTTTGAATTTGCTATATGTATTAATATTTAATAACCTTATTGCTATTGTAATGGGTCTCAAATTAATAGCTGTCATGGAATGGTGCTGCCTGTTTCATTATCTATGCAAAAAAATACTGATGATTTTATACCAAATTAAGTAATTCACTAAATATTTCACTTTGTGTTACTGCCAGACGAAACCAGAATTATATCAACATTCTACGCTTCCTGAACCTTGGTGATAAGAAACTAAATCCATTCGATATTACACATCGATTCACTCACCTCTTTTGGCTGGGTGATCTCAATTATCGAATTGAATTGCCATCAAGCGTAAGTAAATAAAACATCACATTTAAAATGTGTATATTTAAACATTTACATTCCTACTAGGTTGTTCCAAAACACAATTTGTCTTCTATGTGTGCCATTTCTAAATGAATTTCTCAATAAGTCTATATGATAATGAAGGAGTTGTCCAAGCAAATAGAGCAGCAGCTATTGGTAATTTTGATATTTTGATTGAACAAACCTCATCCCATTTTCTTGTAAGTGAAACTGCTGTTTGACAAGCCAACATATATACATTTATGATTGGTGCTGGGGAAATTACTCACAAAAGTAATCCATTAATGACAGAGGTGGAAAGTTCAGGTCCAGAAAGTACAAATCCAGACCAAGTTTTATTTCAACCATCCAGTTGAGTACAAAGAGTCACAGTCACAGAGTACTCCACTGGTCACTTGAAACAAAACCTTGGTCTGGATTTGTACTTTCCAGACTTGAACTGTCCACCTCTGTCTTTAATGGAGTACTTTTGTCAGTAACTTCCCCAGTGCTGTTTATGATGGGGGTATTACATGTCATGGAATTATACTTGTTCTCTCCTGAGCAGGATGCAGAAAATATTGTGAGTAAGATCAAGCAGCAGCAATACCAGGATCTCCTTATGTATGATCAGCTCACCCAGGAAAGACAAGAGGAGAAGGTCTTCATAGACTATGGTATACTAATACACCTTTTACAGAGGCCTGAACAATGCAGAAATTTCATTGCTGTTTTATTATCGCTGAACTGCGAATTCAATGCTGATAATGTGAATAGTATGCATACTTTATATGATAAGGTAATATAGGTTGTAAATGCCAATGGAGGTTCTTCAAAAACATATTTAGAATTAAAACAAAAAATAGACATTAACGTATTTTTAAAGAAATGTATTAATTGATATGAGAAATCCTGAAAGTCACCTTTCTCCAGTTACCAGATTCAACATAAAAACTATAAAAAAATATAAAAATGTGCCTGACTACACACATATCATTGCTTTTTGCCAAACCAACCAAATCAGAACAAAGTGTTTTGTGTGTTCTGTTTTGGAAATGTTCGGTTAATGATAAATTCTTCACATTATTATATTCTTTGTTTTATTACATCAGAGGAAGAGGAGATTACATTCGCACCCACATATCGTTTTGAGAGGGACACACGTGAAAAATACGCCTATACAAAGGCCAAAGCCACAGGGGTAAGTTTTTCCAGATGTTCTTCAGTGTTAAAATCAGCAAACATTTTGCTTCACATGAATACATCAGTTTGTGTGTTTTACCCTGCTACACAGCTTGGGTTAATTTAGCATTTTTATGTAAACTTGGCAGTGTAGTCATTCCTTAATGTCCTGTGGTCATTTGCAACAGGATCAATACTCCTTGTTTTTTTTTTTTTTGCCATTGGTTCCATACAGTCATGTATCACATTTTACCCTGAATATTTAGCAATGCTGATAAAATACATGCAAGTATGTTATTTGTGTAGCATAGTATAATTAAGGAAGGAAAGAGCATGGCATGCCTGAGAGTAAAGCTATATAATTGTGAGTCACTCTTGGCAGACTAAATATAACTTACCCTCATGGTGTGACCGGGTGCTGCGCAAGTCCTACCCCCTTGTTCATGTGGTGTGCCAGTCTTATGGTAAGGCACTATACTTCCTGTACTTACTTTGCTATACTTACTCTTAATTCTAACCACAGCATATCTACAAACCTGTCAGCAGTTGCTAACACTATTGTTTTGTTCTTGTGCTTTAACCTTAAGGGTGCACCAATGACATCATGACAAGCGACCATTCTCCTGTGTTTGCAACATTTCAAGTGGGAGTGACATCACAGTTTGTCTCAAAAAATGGTATGTCTTATAGTATTTTTTCCATGTCATGAAAGATTATTTTTTACGTATTAGCATACCCTGCAATGGGTTGGCGCCCCATCCTGGGTTGTTCCCTGCATTGCCCCTGTAGCCTCTGGGATAGGCTCCGGACCCCCTGTGACGCTAAATGGGATAAGCAGTTTCAGAAAATGGATGGATGGACATATTAGCATAAAATTTTTATGGTAATACATAACAATGAGGCTTTGAAGCAGAAAATGAACTGTATCAGTTATTCTACTGCATTAAGCATCCCTGCATGATATTGTAGGTAAAATAAGCACATTATTTTGGTTACATGATATTGAAATTATATAGGTACTGTATATAGGCAAGAGGTAGTTCTGGCAGTGTGGTAAGTTCAGTAATAGCTGATGCTAATTTAATTTATCTGTGGCCACACAATTTCTTCCATTTATTGCAGATCCCAGCAGTGCTTCTGAGGGGGGAATTAAATTCATGAACTGCATCGCCATCCTGAGGACCAAATCTAACACCAAGTTCTTTATTGAGTACCACTCCAGCTGTCTAGAGAGTGAGCAATAAACAGCTGTACCTTAATGCTCATTTACAAGTCATGTAGACAACTGCTTTATCTAACATTTACAGAAAAACCTTAAATCTTAATGACCTACAAGGATGAGTTTAGGTAAATGTAAAAAATAGTTGAAAAAAATCAGTAAGTACTGTATAGTTATTAAATAAACTGATATTATGATATTACAGTGTTGTGTAGCTGACACTTTTCCAAGAGGAATCTGGGGAACTAGTTTCTTGTAGATTTCTCAGAGTTTCAAAGGGATGCCCACTGTGGCAGATCTAAGGACTTCCAGGCCCCTAGGGACACTCTTTAGATTACATATTACAATACACTACCTGCTGCCATTCACAGCAATGCTGTGTTATTCTATGAGTTAGTGTATGGGCTTTTGTTATTATAAATCAATCTGGCACTAATAATTCATCATAATCATTTTGAAATAGTAATATTCAATTTCATGTGATTTTCAGATTTTGTAAAAAGTCCTGAGGGAGAAAATCTTGAGCATAGTGAGGGATCATTAAAGGTTCGGTTTGGATCACATATTGAGGTAACTGAAAAATGATATAGCTCTCATTTCAACATTCAGTATAAGTACTACAATGAAAATTAGTTCATTATATACAGAATGTAATGACTGAGAGCTGTGTTGAATGTAATTCTTCTTAATTTTATATATCTAGCTTAAACCAATCATTTCGGACCCAGAGTATCTCCTCGATCAGCACATCCTGATCAGCATTAAATCAACTGACTGTGAAGAATCCTATGGTAAGACAGTGTGAGAAATGAATGTGACCAAAAGGCAACAGGTATCCCACTGTGTATGGCTGAAAAGCAAATTTCGAAAATTCACTTATTTTTTATCATTATTTTTTTACGGGTGACATCAGGCTTCCTCATCACCTTACGATACTGGAAACCCAAACTCACCCAGTCTTCATGCAATCAAATGAAAAACATTACATTTCTAAAAGTCCACAGAAATGTTATATGGATATGGTCTGTGGTTTATTGTGGACTGTTGAATGGCAGTTATTAGTCTTTCTATCCACATTCCATACTTTTTATCCACTACATAGTCCTGGTAACTTGGGTGGGACGTCAGTCCATAGGAGGGCACACAATCACTGGGAAATTTATCTAACTGCATGTTTGTTGATTATAGTATGAAGCCCACATTACCACAATTGGTACCCTTTACAAAAAAATTAAGCTATGGCTGTATAGTAAAAAGAAAAACAAATCAAGGTAGAGAATATGCAGTAGAAGCAGAAGAATTGAGAGGAAAAGTTGGTATACCATAGCTGACATGTTTTCCACTATTAAAGTGACTGACTCTTCCAAAAATCTGTAACAGCTTGGACCCATCCTCTGTTCACCATTTTAATTGTACGGTTGTACTGTTAAATATAAGCTACTTTATTTTACAATACAAAAAATTTCTGCAACCATGTTCTCTTAGTTCTCTTTTTTTTCTTCAAAAAAACCACAATATTAATGTGGAAAGTGAGGGCATATGAGTGAAGAACAGTATAAAGTATTTGTAATGTAGTTCCATAAACAGCTCCCTCTAATATTTATAGCAATCAAGTGTAGGGAAACATCGGTTGAGCCTGGTAGTATGCAGGCATGCAACAGCCATATCATGCAGAGGCATGATTCTCCTGATTTTATGCTAAAGATTGAGTTGCACAGTTGTCTCACACCTTCATGGCTAGGGATAGGGTCTGTGGAGTTTTGCATGTTCTCTTTGTGCTGCACTTTCTGGTTTCCTTCTGGATCCACAGACCCATAGTTGGATAAACTGGCATCTGCCCATTGTGTGTAATTATATGCATGTGTGTGCCCTGGGATGGAGTAGCACCCCATCCATGCTGTGCACCTGCCATTTTCGAACTAGGGTACTTTCTAGCCCCCCCACCCTGAGCAGGATAAATGGGTGGAAAATGGATGGCTGTATATTCGATTGGTTGCGAAGTGATTTCTCTTAGCATTAGCAATAACATCAGAAGAATTGCTTAAAATCTTAGAAACCTGGAAGAGGTACAGTATGTCTTATTGGACCGCAGTAAAATAATTTTGATGCATGTTGGAACTATATATTCCAACTGTATATATCTGTATGTCTAGTTTTGTCTTCATAAAAGTGCATCTTTAAAAGTGATTTGTTGTCATGCTGGAATATACAGTTTTCACATTCCCTGAATCTTGCTGCCAAACTGTACAAGGTTTTTTGGAGATGTAATTACTTACTTTCACAGTCATAATAAGAGCACCGCTACTAGACGATAGTAGATGTAAATGGAGTGCCATTTGTCGTTTGCACAGGGGAAGGCTGTGTGGCCTTGCGTGAAGCACAGACATCTAATGTAGAGTTTAGCATTGCCTTAAAACACCATGGAGAGAAGACTGGAGAACTAACTGGAGTTATCCAGCTGCGGACCTCCGGTGGCAAGCAGACTGAAAAACTGTATGGTAAGCATCACTTCCCCCATCCCTTGAAAAAGGGGTTTTTCCATTACAATAAGGAACCCAACTATGAGTTAAATCATAGTGTTATAGGGTTAAAAGAGCAATGGTAAAAAGGCTAGAATACTCGAAATGGTGGCTGCATAGCTATCTACATAAAGAAAACATTAAAATGAAAACTTTTCAGCCAGTGTCACATTTTCATTCAATTAATTATATTAATGTCTGATAAAGATCTAAAAAACTCTGACTTGTTGGAAACTATATTTCCTTTACCTTATTTGGCAAAGTACTGTTTGTCAAAAAGAAGAACAAACCCAACGCTGTGGCTTTTGAACTCTCAATAAAACCAAAGCCTTAAAAAGCATCCACTATCATTTAAAATTAAACTGCAATACCAAAAGCACAAAAGTTTTTTTTCAAAATAATCATTACCTCAATATCATGCCACCTTTCTCATTCAGAAGAGAATAGTAAATTTTGTTCCTTGAAAAAGCCCTATATAATGATAATTCTTATAGATTATACAGTGGTACCTCAGTTCTCGAACTCATTACAACTCGAATTTCTTAAAAAGGAAAAAATTACCTAGTACTCAATCTGAATCTCAGAAGTCAAACCGTGAACGCCAACCTAAGATAACTTGTATGTGCGGGTAAATGAGTCACGCGCACGTCTCTCAGCGGAAACAAGGGTAATGCTTCAGTCTCAGCCTCGCATTCGCTGTGATAGCATAGTGCATATTTACACAAGCTGAATATATATATTTAGACAGTAAAAATACATTTAGACAATGATAGACAGTGACAGTAATTATTATTATATAATAAAATAAATTTAAAAATTAAGATTTGTTATTAATTATTTTAATATGAATAATAAACCATTAATATAATAAACCATTTAATTATAATAATATTATCGTGCCGAGCGGGGACGGAATGGAGACAAAGGCGCAGATGTCAGGGTATCGGGGAATACGGGGTTTGATTACAGGTAAGGCAGGCAAAACCCAAACGGACAATACAATGACCGGACTGGGGAAACAAACTGAAACGCGGACGAAATACAGAGGACTCACAACAACAACGAGAAACAGCTAATCACACGGGGATTCCACAGGTGGTTAACGAGGGGGCGTGGTACACGGATGGAGCAGACAATCGGAGCAGGACACATTGTTTTTTTTTACCTTTACACATTGGATACATTTATTTTCTTACTTTACAAATTACTGTTTTGATAAATGTCCTTACATGTGTTTAGTACAGTATATGCTCTTCTTGTTTTATCTGGTTCATTTTGTGTTTAAACACTAAAAAAAAAAAAACATATTTAGGTGTAATTTTTTGGGGCCGGGAACCAATTCATTGGTTTTCCATTATTTCTTATGGGGAAAATTCGATCAGAACCCGAACTTTTTAGGATTCGATCTGGAGTTCTGAACGGATTAAGCTCAAGTTCTGAGGTACCACTGTAAATGATATATCAGACAAGGTGAATAAACATAAGAATTGAAAACTATTTAATTTTTTTTTCAGATAATGCTACCATTTGAGTCACAGTAAAGATTTGATGTTTTCATTACCACCACATATATACGGCACAATGGCCTGTAAATTTGGATGATGTTTTGCTAATGATTAGTGAAATTTGAGACAATTGGTAGGCGCCCCCATCCTGGGTTATTCCCTACTTTACGCCCATTGTTTTTGGGATAGGCTCCAGACACCCCCTGAACAGGTCAAATTGGTGTATGAAATGGATGTATGGGTAGCTGGATGGAATAGTGAAATTTGGAGCAATTTGATATTAACATTATACATATTTCAAAAGGAATTCACAACCAGCAATTTGTTTACTGAAAACATTGTTTTGTATAAAACTGCTCACTATTACAGAATCAGTATTTATTATAAAATAATGTAGGGGTAAATTGCTTTAGTTTTGTGATCCATTCATTGACATATGTTTACAGAATGGAGTGTAAAAGAGTGTTCCACATATGTCTGGCTAGTGCTAAGGAACTTCTCTGTTTTGATAGATTTTGTCAAGGTTGAGAGAGATGACTCTGGAGTTCCAAAGAACAGAGGAAATGACCACACTAACAAGTGAGTTTATTTCTGCAGTCTCAGTGGTGTCACACATTCTCCTGTGCAGTCAATGAGATGGAAGTGATATTACATATGTCTCTCTGTTCAGGCCTCCTATACCCATCAACATAAGTAATCCCAGTTACATGGGAGTGGGCTATAAATCCGGAGGTGTGTCAGATATGGGCTGGAGCTACAACATGCCCCCAAGAGCGAGCCCCCCTGGATGTCACATAAGTAAAGATACAACCCAGGGTAACATTTCGCCAAAGAAAACTGCACAAGATATGGGTGTTCATTGTCCTCAAGGAAAAGGGTCAGATCATGTGTAAGTATCCTCCATATAAAAAAAAATTAAAAAAAAAAATATATATATATAACACCATTATTTGACTTCTTTCAAGTTGATAATAATAATAAAATAATCATAATAATAATGATTGTTATTATTGTTGTTGTTATTATTATTATTATTATTATTATTATTTTATATATAAATAATACCATTGAGATTTTAAATTAACTCAGAAGTGTTACTTCTGCAGGGGTGAAGATGGAAAGCCTCCTGAGATGTTTGACAATCCTCTTTATGGCTCCATGGTGGTGACAAAGCAGACATCACGCTCAAAAGAACACGATTTCCCCCGCAAGGACCACCTCAATCTACCAGAAGGTTTCGCTGGCACCTCCAAGTCCCCTGAACCTGAAGCTGAGCGTCCTCCTCCTGTACCCACTCCCCGAAATCGCTCCTTCACATGCTCCACTGAGTGCAAAAACCCAGGTCCTACAACTCTGCAGCCTCCTGGCTTTAATAAGAAACCTGTGGTGCCATCTCGGTCAGAGGGGGGGTTATTGCCAGGTAACAGGCCCCCACTGCCTCTGAAATCCCGTGGGGGCCTACCAGACCCTCAGCCGATCAAACCTAGGGACTACAGAGAGACCGCCGAGCTTCCCAGCAAAGGCCGACCACCGGCAAGACCCACCCAGCCCCCCCCAAAGGAAGGTAATGACCATCACATGTCAAATTCTAGTAATAAGAACATCTAAAATGTGCCAGACTTGTTATACACTCATAGAATTGTTGTATAATGTAATTTCAGAGTGTGTCTCTCTTAGACAATGACATAATGAAGAATATCTGTGTTCTCTAGGGCATCATGAAGGAGTTCAGGCTTCAAAAGCTGGACGCTCAGTGAAATGAGTTTCAGCATCAACAGCTTCATGTATATAAGAAATCCTCAGGAAACAGGAACTACAGCGATTAACCAGTACATAACATTCAGACTGTAAAGAATGTCAGCTGAAATATCAATTTGGAAAATAATAAATAATGCAATGTGCCAGCCTAAAAAGTCATAATTCAGGGATTAAATTAATTACATTCCTTATATATTGTAAATACTCGTTATTATAAAAATGTTTTTGGGGTTGTTGGGTTGTTTTTTTCAAATTTTAACCTAAAATGTGAATGTCAATGGCATTGATTTGTGCTTTTAAAGGCAATGAGTCATTTTATTGCTTTTTTCAGGGTGTCGTGTATGAAGTGAAAATAAAATAAAAATTGAGTTGCTGTTCACTCCCAAGGGCATAGCTACAGATCATCTGCTTATGCAATGCTTCACCACTTCCCATCAATGACTTTTACCTTTGCCAAGAGCTGGGCGGTATTTCAGATTTATACGATATATTTTCAAAAAATTACATGTAGTGTAACACAATACCCTCTACATAAATATGCTTTGTGTGCATGTGGGTGCTGAAGTATTTGTTATGGAAATCAATAGCATTCTTTCATACTATTTGACATATTTATGAAATATACATTGTCACGCAAACAGGCACGGAGCGGGGAAACAGGAGCAGGAGTCCAAGGAGTCGGGTAAACACAGGATTTATTTGGGGAGAACACATCTAGGAACATGATGCAACACACAGAACTGACATCAATGACCGGACTGGGGAAACATACTCTAACTCAGACAACAACTGCACAAAGGCAGACACGAACAAGGAGACCAAGATCAGGCGGGCTGAATTTGGGAGCAGCAGGGGCCACAGGCGATCGCAAGGCCGGAGCCAGAGGGACCCTCAGCGACTGCGAGGTAGGAGGCAGAGGGGACACCAAAGGGGGTGAGGAGGGAGCAGAAGCTGTGGTAAGCAACGGTGAAGCTACAGTTGGCGAAGATGCAGGTGACCGATGAGGTGGAGCTGGGGGAACTGCAGACTGTAGGCAAAGCAGTAGGCAAAGCAGCAGGGAGATGAACCTCGGGCGTAGGCAAAGCAGAGGGGAGACAAACCTCGGGCGTGAGCAAAGCAGTGGCAGGGGGGTCGGACGCCGACTTAGAAGTGTCAGTGAGACAAACACCACTGGATCGTGGATAGTGAGGAGGTTACCTCGATCTGCCGCCGGGGAGAGGACAGGGATCGCAACTGGTCCTGGAAGAGCCTCCAACATGCCTTCTCGTGTGCGATCCTTCTGCTTATTTTTTCTACGTGCAGATGCAGCTGGAGCAGCGGAAGGTTCAGGCAGTCCAACCGATGGTAGAAGAGGCAATCCACAATCCAGATGCACCCCCTGTAACATTGCCTCAGCTGCCTCGCCTCTCAGCCGGACCAGGTTCTGTCACACCGCCTCTGTTAGGTGTGAGTCTTCAGACAGGGAAATCTCCTCTAGGATATCCCTTGACTGCACCACAAGGGTTCTAGCAGCTGGGTCCTCCGTAACCTCGGGCAGCCGGAGCCAGTATAAGACCTCATCCATGAGACCGAGGTATTCCTCCTCGGTCATACAAAACCTCTCTTTAGGGGGTCCAGTCATTCTAGAGCAGGGAAAGAGGAGCAGGAGTCCAAGGAGTCGGGGAAATGCAGGATTTATTTGGGTAGAATACATCCAGGAACATTATGCAACACACAGGACTGACCCATAATATTATTGTGCTAAGGTTGAACTGTATAAATGTGTTTTTTTGTACTGATCATTTGTATAACTTGTTTTTCACAAAATACCTTGTTTCTCATGAAAGGAGCCAAGATGCTTATCTTGTTCTAAAAATCCTTGTTCTGGGATGCTTACCTTGTTCAAAGACACTTGTCTTGTTAATTTGTTTTATGAGATGCTTACCATGTTTTTCTGAGGGGTTTTCCTGAAGAGAAGAGAAAGTGTTGCCCAATATGCATACCACTGATTGGTGTGTGAGACGGTTACCTCATCCCTAGGAAGAGGGGAATGCGTTGATTTTGGGAACTTGTCTTATTATTTTTGATCAAAACCACAAGTTGCATTACCCAGACAAAATTGGAAAAATGAGAATGCATTGCCTGAGGGGAGGGGTGAGCCTGGCCAGCTCGTCCCCTGCCAGCACGCAGCACCCAAATTAGTATAAAGGAAGGGGGAGACTGCAGCTCAGTTGTGGGATAGAGTGCGCATCGCCCGGACATCCAAGTGTAAATAACTTGCTGCATCTTATTGATTATTGGGATTACTTATCGCAGTCTATAATATACCTAATTCTTTGTATTCTTTTATTATTGCTCATATCATATATCATTTTTTATTACATTGATTATTGGGATTGCTTATCATGGTTTATGACTTGTAATACTTTGTATTCTTTGGACTGATTCACATGCAATAGTTTGTGCTTGTTTGATTATTATTGCTCATTCTTTATATATAAATATATATATATATATATATACACTCACCTAAAGGATTATTAGGAACACCTGTTCAATTTCTCATTAATGCAATTATCTAATCAACCAATCACATGGCAGTTG